GCCTCGCCCTCGTAGCTGACCTCGGCCACGTAGCCGGAGTCGCCGTCCACGAAGTACTTGACGGTCTGCAGGCGGCCGTCGGGGAGCTGCACGTAGTAGGATCCCTGGGTGCGGTCGCCGTCGCGGGACTCCTGGTGTCCGAAGTTGTTGCCGGAGTCAGCATGGTTGACGGCCCAGTCGAAGTCGTACCTGGCCTCTGACGACTCGTAGGACTCCTCTGACGAGTCCTGCAACGCACAGTCAGTTAATTTTTTCTCTTCTTAGATATATTAGAAAAAGCATATTGCTAATGCATACTAAAACTACGTACTGGTCTGTGTTATCTCCAAAATCACACTTTTTAAACTACAAAATGTATTAAGGATATAGTAGTAACTATGTACCTCGCTAATCAAGTCAGAGAAACTTTCTCAGCACAAAATAATATCAATAACAATAGAAAGAAAAGAAAAACAAAACTGAAACTCCTCACCTGAGGGGGGCCATAGGAATAAGAATTCCTCTGTGGACTGGCTGCTGCTGAGACAGCTAACAGGACGACGAGAATCTGGCGAGAAAAAAAAAAGTTTTACTCCTTATAGTTCTGGAAGTTTGTATCCTGAATATTTGATTATGAATGCAAATATGGAGAACATAACAAGTGCTATCAATATGGAGAGAATATCTAGTTCGTATTTGACTATATCATGAGAAAAGAAGTAGGAAGTGTGTTGTGAGAGAGAGAGAGGGAGAGAGAGAGAGAGAGAGAGAGAGAGAGAGAGAGAGAGAGAGAGAGAGAGAGAGAGAAAAAAAGAGAAAAAGAAAATCAGTCAAAACTTAGAAAAGCCAAGTTCCTTACCAAGGTGTTCATTGTGCCTTCAAGATCAGCCGTGTGAATGATCACTGGACCGCATTTCCCTGCATTATATACCTCATTTCCCCCTCCCGACGCCCCTCTCCCCCCCTCACGTCCCCTACCCAACACGTCCCCCTACCCTCCTACCCACCCAGCTTCTTTCCTCATCCTTTCCCTTTCCTTCTCGATCTCCGAAGCGAGTTTTTGCGTCTCAGAAGTAACACACCGCAGACAGCCATCGCTCGGCCTTGGCAGCGCGGAAAGCCTCGTTAAGAGACGATCAAAGGGCGGGGCCTCCCTTTCGTCGGTTGGACGCAAGGCGCTCGTGCCGCGGCCGAGAGGCAGGTCGACGTCTGTGCAGCTGCTGAAATGTTTTGTTTCCTTTATTATTGTTATTATAATATTATTTATATTATTATTTATTTTTTTATTAACCTACTAATGTTCCTCTGTGATGATTTGTTATTATCATTCTGACATTATCATTATTATTATTATTATTATCATTATTTATTAACCTACCATTATCATCATTGTTATTATTATTATTATTATAATGATGATGATGATGATGATTATCGCTCTTCTTATAAAGATTATTATTCTTATTACACTTATTACTATCATTGTTGCTGTTATCATTATTTTTATTATCTTCATCATTATTATTATATTATCTTATTATCATTATTATTATTATTTATTATTATTATTATTATTATTATTATTATCATTATTATTACCTTTATCTTTATCCTCATCATTTAGTATCACCTCATCATTCTTCTTGTTATTATAATATTGTTACCATTTTTATTATTATTGTTATTATCATCAATATTATTATCACTATCCTTATTTATTATATTATTGTTATTATTACGATGATAATAATGAATAATTATGAGATAGTAGCATAGTATCATATTATTATCATTTATCATTATTATTCATTGTTATTCATTATTATCATTATCATTTTTCATCATTTTTAAAATTATTACCATTAATATTATATTATCACTATTATCAGCATCATTATCATTACTACTACTACTAAATAATAAAATGATTAATATCATTATCATTGTTTCTGTCTCCATATCTATTACGATTAATATTTCTGTTGTTATAGTTACAATAATGGTAACAACTACAACAGTTATGGCAACAACAACGAAAATAATACTTTTAATAGCAATAAATAAATTAATAATATGAAGAAAATATAATGATTATAATAATAATAACGATAATGATGCTAATGATAATAAACACTAATTAACTGATAATTGATAACACAACACACTTTGCACATCACACACATACACACACACACATTGTATTAATTTGATTAACATGCACATACACACAGATATGATATATGTATATATTATATATATATATATATATATATTATATATATATATATATATATATATTTATATATATGTATATATATATATATATATATATGTGTATATGTGTGTGTGTGTGTGTGTGTGTGTGTGTGTGTGTGTGTGTGGTGTGTGTGTGTGTGTGTGTGTGTGTGTTATTACATATTACATTAATATATATATATATATATTATATATTATATATATATATATATATATATTATATTATATATATATATATATATATATATATATATATATATATATG